CACACAACTGCTTTTACCCTACTTTTTTGTTGCGGATGAGGCTTTCCCTCTGAAATCATATATTATGAGACCGTACCCTGGCCGCTACTTGAGTGTATGCAAAAATATATTTAATTATAGACTTTCTAGAGCACGACGCACAATTGAAAATACGTTCGGCATTTTAGCTTCTCGTTGGAGGATATTGCGACATAATATCATTGCTGAAGTAGATACAATTGAGAAAATTACAGCGGCCACAGTTATTTTGCATAATTTTTTAAGGACACATGAATCAGGCCTCCAAACCGTTCATAGCTATTGCCCGCCTGGGTTTGTCGATTCAATAGGGCCTAATAATGAGATCATACCAGGAACTTGGCGACTGGAACAATTAAATGGCCCACAGAAAATTGGAAGAGTTGGTGCAAATACTGCTGCAAGAAAAGTATTGGCAATAAGAGATCGTATGGCCCAATATTTGCAAAATGAAGGGGCTGTGAGCTGGCAGATGGAGTACATTTCGCGGGGATCATTGCCTAATGAACCTCTAAATGGTTAGTTTTAAAATAAAATGTAATACACATCAGGTTTAATAAAAAGCTTTTAATTTTTTATTTAATTTATTTGTTTAAACATTTCTTTAACAATTTTACATAGTTTGTAATTTATTTTACATTAGTACTTTTTTATTGCATTTCAAGTTCACTTAAATAATTATCTAAAACTTTCATAATTTCTATTTTGCATAATCGTAGCTGGGGCGGTGGTAAACGGTTTAAATCTGCTACCAAAGAATCGCAAAAACTTTGCACAGAAGAAGTGCTACTACTAGACGTACTTTTTGATGCTACAAATGATTCGAATACGTGAACGGCTTTATTTAAGGTGCCCTGTATAGCGCAATTTTTACCATGAGGGGTAAACGTGACAGCAGATTGTGCGGATGATGCTCTGCTCGTTGATGATCCTCTGCTGGTTGAACTTGTAGGTGTGTCGGCCGGGGTGATAGGTTCCAGCATACCTGTATCCGTATTAACCATAAAAATTTCTTCAGTCTCTGTTGCTTCTGGAATATCCATTTCTTTCGATATTTCATCGTCCGTGCCTGGATCTTCCAACGAAGTTGAATCTTCATCATTTGCCACATTACCAAATGTGCGCCGCCTTTTTACCACCGTATTTAAGAATTGTAGACATTTGTATAGGGACCACTCCGGTTTGCCACTGCATGAGCCAGACACCAATACTTTGGACCGTTCTTTTGAAAAACGAGCACGCAACGCGGCCCATCTTGCTTGGCAATCCGACACTAAAGTTGGATGAGATATACTAGTATTTGTTGTTAACCCTCAAGTCAAATTCAATTAAAAACAGTGTTTACTCACCTTCTGTTTGCAACAATTTGCCGATTGTTTTCCATGAATTTTCTACTGCCACCTTATCTTTATATAATACATTTTTTTTGTCATATAAATGTGGAAATGTTTCCACCAGACTAATTAATTTTTCGTCCATCACAACCTTAGAAGATCACAACGAATTTTGCAAAACAAATAGGTTATTCTTCTTCTTCTTTAAATTTCATTCTCTCCACAGGGTATATGGATAAAATAATTGTATTTTAATAAAATAATTATTTTATTAAAATAATTATTGGTTTCGACTCTAGCAATAGGTTATAATTTATAACTTTATAATCACATTGACTGACAGCACACGTGAACCTTAGCTTGCATCCCATTGGTTGAGAATAATCCGTAATCCGTTAACATAAAAGTTGGCGAACTTTGCGCTACGAGATTACAGAAACTTCTAGTCGGTGACCCAACATCGATCCCGACTTCTCACGAGCTGGCACGAACCGCCTTATAACGTGACGTCATAATAATAATCCGGTTTTGTTCCCCGAACATACAATATTTGTTGTCAAGCTAAATAGCTTATATGGTAGGGCGTTTGCTTTGCATGCGAGAGGTCCCGGGTTCGAAACTCAGAAGTTGTCAAATTTTTTTTACTTTTTTATTTCATAAATTTGTTGTTCCTTTGTTAAAAAGTGTTTTATTTTTATCGTAACATAAATTTGCCCATTTTAGTTGGGTTTTTTGCTCAATGGGGCGGGGGGGGGCCAATGGGGCGGGGTCGGTTGGGTTGTGTTGTTGAGTTTGGGTTGGTTTGGTTTTATTACGTAACTAACGTGCCCTTAACATGTATACAGGTACAATTTATTATTATATTATTGTTGTGCCGCCAATTTTAAATGATAATGATGCATTGTATAATATATAATAAATTCTTTGTCCAGTCGGGATCAATGTTGGGGCACCGGCTAGAAGTTAGTCGAGATTACGGTAAGAGATTAGCGCCAGTGATTATATACCAAAGCATTGAAAATGAATGTTTAAAGAATAGTGGTTAGAGAATAAAATTAGGCTTATTGCCATTATAAACCATCCTTAATAGTTTTAAGGAAAGTTTGTAAATAGTATATTAAAGTACAAGTTGCAGAAGGCCACATATTCTCGCACGAATTCGAAATTTGGCCTCGAGCGACGAAGGAGCGAGTGGACGAACGAATAAGTGCGAGAATAGCCTTCTGCAACGTGTGATTTATACTATTTTCTCGATTTTAACTTTTATTTAGGATTTTTTAATTGTTTTGTGGTCGTTGTTAGTTGGGGGATTTTTCTCGCAAAATGTCAGTTGGCAACACAAAATGACAGTTGCATGGACAGGTATTTTTATTTACTATTTATTAATAATCTGTCTGTTTTTGTCAACTGGATAATAGGGTTTTGTGTAAGTATTGTATTATTTTTTAATGTTTTCTGATATTTTTGAACAATTGTGTTTACTTTTAGCAGTGAAAAATGTCACAGGAGGTTTTACAAGCAACACCGAACATTACAATAAAAGTTTATAACTATTGTGCTAGTGATTAATTTATAGTAGTTTTGTGTACTGTGGGTATATAATATTTCCAATAAAATATAGTTTGATTGACCTGTTTGGCTCATTTATTTGTCAATATTTGTTATCCTGCACAAGTTCAACCTGAACTGCACTTTTTCACATTAAACTTAAAATTTTGCATTAAAATGCATTGTTGGAGCAAACTTAATATAACAAAACAATAATAAAGGCTTCATTTTCAATAAAAGTGTAGTTTAGGTTGCACTAGTGCAGGATAACAAACAAAGCTATTATAAATAATCCTAAAAGTAATGAATTTGAGGTTATTAAACAGTTTGACATTTTGCCAAAATGATTTTGGGGGTACCAATACTTAAAAACTAAATGTTACCAAAAATCGTTTAAGAATGAGCTTCATTCTTCAACGATTTTGCGTGCGAGAATATGACATTCTTACATAAAAATCGAGAAACCGTATTTTTATTTTGTTAAATGCCCTGCTTAAAATAACCCATAGGGACCCATAAAAATAATCTATAGGGCGCTAACAGACTCAATATGTGCATTTGTCCATGCTTTTTTCGGATATGGCCCTATATAGAAAATTTATAGGAAATTACCTATAGGTACACCATTCTATAGGACCGTATCCGGAAAAAGTAGTGGACATTATTATGCATAACTTCTACATTTCGCCTATTGAGACTGATAGCAAATAACTCAAGAAAGGATATATAGGGATATCCCTATAGAGCAACCATAAAACATTTTACAAAATTTCGTTAAAACCTATGGGGTCCTATGGGAGAAAAACTAATTTCTACATTTTTGTGTATTTTCCTTGTTGAGACCAATAGCAAATAAATCAAGGTAGGATATTCCTATAAAACAACCATAAATCCCAACTATGGGTCCTATTCATACCGATACACCTATAGAAACACCATACAATCCAATAAAAAAATCTATTGGTTTGAACAGTTTCTTTATGTGACATTTTAACCAAGGTGTAACTTTTCATTATTTATCATAATTTTCTGTTTTAAAACCATTTTAAAACGTTTAACATTTAGTAAATACAAGTAAAACACTTTTAAGATAGGAACTTTCAGAACAATGTAAATTTTAAAAAAGTACACAGTAAAAAATAATGGTAAAATTACGGATAAAAATATGTAATATATTTACATAAAATATATGGTGTTTCAAATATATTTGGTAAAATTACGGATAAAAATATTTAATATTTACATAAAAAATATGGTGTTTCAAATAAATGCATAAATTATTACGGTTATTGAGTGATTTTACTGAATATATTCTGTAAAGGTAAATATTTTACAGAATAAAACGTTGGCTATTCTGTGGCCAACGTAATATTCTGTAATTTTTTCTTACTGTGCAAACGCATAAATTATTACGGTTATTAAGTGATTTTACAGAATATATTCTGTAAAAGGTAAATATTTTACAGAATATTACGTTGGTTACTAGGTATGTGGCCAACGTAATATTCTTTGTTTTTTACTGTGTACCTAGTTTTATATATAAAAACAATGATTATCATTTGTGCTTACATTCTAAAAATTGTTGGTTATAATTTTGATTGTTTTAGGGCCAAACTCAAACTTTAAAATTTAGGCTATATAATCATTTAAAACTATTGTCAAGCACGTTAAAAGGGGTGTATCAGTACTTGCAAATGGAAAATACGAGGAATTTACGTTTAAAAAACGCATTAAATTTATTGTACAATATTGCATGTAATTATGGGTAAATACGTTATTTTAAATGCGTAAATAGAAAAAGATTCTCGACTTAGGTTAATTTTAGACGTTTCTTTGTGGATATTTTAAAGAAAAGAAACCATTTTATTGTAAAATACCTAAAACGATTGACTCATGTAAAAGTGACGTGCCATTGATAATCGTATTAATTTGTGGGTGGAACACAGCGCTAAATTATTTATTCAAAGCAATTAACATTAAAATCCCGCAAAAATCTTTAATAATGCACTTTAATTAGATAAAAACTACGCAAATACATGTCAAAATCGCAATTCATTGTCAAAAATCCTCAATCGAAAAGATAAATAAATCGATACTTACTATTCGGGATTCATGTTTATTTCGCTAATATTTCAGTTTAATACGTTCGAAATACTATTTGTACGTTTATATTGCACACTTATTTAACACTTCACTATGGTATTAATGCTAGGAATTCACAAAAAATACGCAAATTTGGAACAACGTCTACAACAAATCAACAACTTCGAACATTGACGTAATGCCAAAGTGGCAGCGCACCTGTCGCAGAACTAAACGCGAGCGGGAAATTTAAATATGTGATCTCGGAACGTAGCCCAAAAACGTTATAATTTAAATTATATCTTATAATTGAAGTGGATGAAGGAGTTGAGTAAAATAATATGTAATTGCAATAAAAATGATTTTTATTTACAATCTTTTCTAATTTATATGATATCATGATATCACCTATACCTATATATCATGATATCATATAGGTATGTAATAGTATTACCGTAATACCAATTAGCCTAATGGCATTAGGTATATATACCTAATTACAAAATACAAATATACCTAATTACAAAATACAAAAGTTGTTTGGAGAATCAAGTGGATAAATTAGCTTATTAATTAACTAGTTAATAACTAATTTATCCACTTGTCCTTACAAATAAAACCCAGACCGAAAAACACCATTCCCTGCAGGCACATGTCAGGAATATTCCCAGGAATATGGCGTAATCAAATGTCCGCTTTTTGGTTAACCCATATGGGTTAACCAAAAAGCGGACATTACTGCAGTAATCATAAAAATAATATTCCATGCACAATCCACACATTGTGATTCCATGTATACGCTATAGCGGCATGCATAAGACTTTAAGTACCTATTGTTATAGGAGCCCCTTAATATAATTCGGGGATTACTCCTAGCTCTTATGGCCACTTAGAGAGTTCGCTTTCTACCCCTTCGGGGTTTTCTATCATAGAAAACCCCGAAGGAACTTAACTTAAGTTAATTATATATATATACTTATATACAGGGTGTTTCAATAAAAACTCCCAGGCCAATTATTTCGAAAACTAAAAGTGACATTTAAATTCTGTAAACGTCAGTTTTTAGCCTCTATGATTGGCTTCACAACTGTGTAAAAAATGTGTTTGAATAATACAAGATGTAGGTGGCGCCACTGTGCAAAGAATTTTTTCGATGGCAGGTACTTTTAAATTAATTTTTGATCAAATTATATCCCATACAAATTTTTGATAAATCCGACATGAACCGAGATTTGGGTTAAATTTTTCATTAAAAATAATTTTAACGAGTATTTTAATTATAAATATTTTTAATATCCTTTAGCAGATGTTCATTTAATGGTAATGATAATTTTAGTGATAAATCACTCGTGTAGCCCTAACTATACCCGGACAACAATCGGGATTTCCTGGTGAAATCATGATGATATCACAACGTGATTTTTTTTATCACGCCGTGATATCCTGAGTGCATACACATGCTTCATCACAGTGATATCATGTAGCACTCACGGTGTGATATTTGCAAAATTTGCGCATGCGTAATAGCCCTGCGAACTGCGAATTTAAAACCTAGTTTGTTACCTGTTGATTCAACATAACATTTCTCTTAGTGTACGAACGTGGCGATAATGATAATTATCAAATGATAATTATCAAAACACCGTTGGCATAAAAAATCACGACATGATTTTTTATGCTATCAGTCAAAAAATCACGACATAATGTTCGTGATTTTTTGACCGATAGCATAAAAAATCATGTCGTGATTTTTTATGCCAACGGTGTTTTGATTATTATTTTTGCGCCACGTTCGTACACTAAAAAAAAGTTATGTTGAATCAACAGTTTTTGCGGTTAAATACATTCAATATTTTCTTGAATGTAAATTAACTATTAATTTAAATCCAAAAAAATATTGAATGTTTTTATTTAACCACAAAAACTCTTGATTCAATATATATGTAGGTATACTTTTTCTCTCAACGTACGAATGTGGCGCAAAAATAAATATCCAAACACCGATGGCATAAAAAAATCACGACATGATTTTTTATGCCATCGGTGTTTGGTCATAAAAAATCACGACATGATTTTTTATGCCATCGGTGTTTGGATATTCATTTTTGTGACACATTCGTACTTTGAAAGAAAAAGTATGTTAACAATTGAATTAACAGTTTAACATTCAATATTTTCTTGGATTTAAATTAACTATATATAGTTAATTTAAATCCAAGAAAATAATAAATGTATTTAACCGCAAAAACTGTTGATTCAACATAATTTTTCTCTTATTGTACGAACGTGGCGCAAAAATGATTATTCAAACACCGTTGGCATAAAAAATCACGACATGACTTTTTGTGCCATCGGTCAATCGCAAACAGCGATGGCATAAAAAATCACGACATGATTTTTATATCTCACGCAGTGACATCCGGATGATGTCCGTATGAATAAAATTTGTGAAAATCACGACGTGACGTTCGTATGATTTTTATTTATCACGCGGTGACTTCCGTATGATATCAGTATGAATAAAATTTGTGAAAATCACGACGTGATGTTCGTATGAATATCACGAATGTTGTCCGGGTAGATTAAAATTATTACGTCCAGTAACGTCTCAGGGGGCCCCTTAACAAATAATATTGGCAAAAAATAATACGCCACTGAGTGTCTGGTAATTTTTATATTTTTTTCGGATTATGCAACTAAAAATATCCTTTTTTGCCTGTTGAATTGTTTTCATATCTTGCTTCGTTTTCGAGAAATAAAAATAAAACCATTTCACTGCATATCTCTGGAAAACAATAATCATTAAATAAAAACAAATGAATATAACCCACAAACGTCATTACGAAAATTAAAAGATAAAAGTAAGTTCCTATAAAAGGAAATATGTTTTTCCATACAAGGTTCATATATGATATATCAGGGCCGAGCCGTGCCGGGGGTGCAAGGGGTGCATGGCACCCGGGCGGCACTAACACAGGGCGGCAAAATATCATCAAAAAAATTGTATCATATTATCAAGAATAAAAAAGCCACCTTGCAATATGCAAAAAACTTTTCTACACATAAAAACAATGCCAAAATTGTGCGGTCTGGCGACAATGATAAAAAAGACATAACCGAACGCGCGATAGCCACAAAAAATGATGATGACAATTTTCTTAAAGCCCGGTTTATAGATTGCCTCCCGCCCGCTTCGCTTTCCGTCCGTCCGCTTCGAGTTCGTCAAGTTTCATGTTTTACGGAAGCGGGCTTACGGGAAACCAATTAAATCGCGCGCTGTGTACCACGTGATATTGTTTACAAGCTGAACTGTTAAGTTAAAGCATAATTTCTTCCGATTTGACGGCTGCGTATTTCAGCAATTTTTAGTTTTTCTATTAACGTGAGGCAAATAGGATGCAAACATAGTAGTTTCTTTTGTCTTTTAATGCGTTTAAGTTAAAAACTAGTTAATGATTTAAAAGGCATTTTTCCGAATTTATTTGTAGCTTTAAGAATATTTTTGACGATGCCAGTTACTGTTGCCCATGGAGAGCGGTCATTTTCGAAATTAAAACTAATTAAGATTTAAGATCCAATATTAGTCAATTCGGGCTTTCAAATTTAGCAATTATAAGTATTGAAGAAGATATTTCTAACAACTTGGATGTAGGCGACTTAATTGGGGAATTTGCTATTAAAAAAGCGAGAAAAGTAGATTTTAGTTTTTTAGTTTAGTTTAAATATTTTTGTTTTTTTTCCTGAATGTATTTTTATTTTATTCTTATATGTATTTGTTAATAAATACTTTGTTATTTTATAAAATTTGTTATAAGTATGTTTATTGAGAATGATAAATTATGAACTCCTTCCCTACCGACAACCTAATTTTTTACATTAATGGGGGCGGCAAATTTAATTCTTGCACCCGGGCGGCAGATACCCTCCCTGCTTAAAATACCCCATAGAGACCTATACAAAATAATCTATCGGGCGCTACCGGATTCTATATGTGCATTTGTCCATGGGTTTTTCCGGATACAGCCCGATAGAAAATGTATAGGAAATTACCTATAGGCACACCATAACTTTTACATTTTCCCTATTGAGACCGATAGAAAATAACTCAATGAAGGATATATAGGGATATCCCTATAGAGCAACCATAAAACATTTGACAAAATTTTATTAAAACCTATAGGGTCCTATAGGGAAAAAACTAATACACATAAATGTAGAAATTATAATTTCTACATTTATGTGTATTTTCCCCATTGAAACCGATAGCAAATAAATCAATGGTGGATATCCCTATAGAACAACCATAAATCTCAACTACGGGTCCTATACAAACCGATACACCCTATAGAAACACCATACATCCCGATACAAATATCTATCGGTTTGAACAGGGTCTCTATGGGGTATTTTAAGCAGGGCTAGGCTCGGCCCTGGTTCATATGGTGGATCATCTACAATAAGGAGATAACCAGCGCAGATTAAAATTTTTGACACATTTTCATATTCTTTTGGAAGAAAATCCAAATTTATTAAACCAAATTATGTGGAGTGACGAATCACGCTTTTACAATAATGGAGTAATTAATAAACATAATTAATTAGCGACAATTGTCGCTATATTCCTGGGACCAGCTGGTCCAGTTAGGATTTTCCTGGGACCAGTATACTAGTATACTGGTCCCAGGAAAATCCTAACTGGATACGACAGACTAAATTTTAAACACGATTTGGGGTAAGTGTTTGGTGAGGTATTGTTACATAGTCGGGCCCTATTTGTACCAGAGACAAGGGATCCCTTGTCTCTGATTTGTACCATGAACATTTAACTTCAGTTCGTTATTTACAATTTCTGCAGACGATTTCCCTTTGCTTTTACAAAATTTGGGAATTGACGTAAATATTTACTATATACTATGTGGTCTTATCAAGACGGTGCCCCAGCACCCAATTGGGTTAATAGCAATATCGTTATGAATAATCTAAATGACGTTTCCAGGAAAAGTGATCAGCACAAATGGGGATCTTAGATGGCCAGCAAGTTCCCTGATGGACTTTTATTTAAGGGGCGGCTAAGAAGATTATATTCCTGCAGGGGCGTGCTGGCAGAATCAATGCAGGCCTGGACTAGAAGGTAGAGCAGTCCAGGCCCATATAAGTGGTAAAAATACATCACAATTAAATAACTCGACTGATAAAACGTC